GCTATCCCATTTTATGCGGGATACCATCCCCCTTCACACGCTATAAACTTTGCGTTTGACGCAGACCGACGCTCTCGTCTCGTATGAGCGCGCGCGCGCGTTACTTCAACAGGAACTTTTACTTTTGGTGTGCAAATACATTTCATGTACAAAATTGTACACGTTAACAACTAGAGCAGCCCACTTCCAACTTGAACGTGTGACCCGTGTGTACATGGACGCTCACGTGAGGGACTCGAGTACTACCAAACACGGAGGAGGGCAAAAGAGTTAATTGAGCGCGAAAGTGAGCCCAAATAAAAGTAAAGTACGTTTTCGTACATTTGAGCGAGTCGAGTGTGAATGTGAGTGTATGTGAGTGTGTGTGAGCGTGTGTGTGTGTGTGTGTGTGAGAGTGTGTGAGAGTGTGTGAGTATGTGTGAGTCTAGGTGAGTGAGTGTGTGTGAGTGTGTGAGAGTGTGAGTGTGTTGCGCGCGTGTGCCCCTGCGGGGCCCTGTCCTGGCCGGAGTGGCTGGCCCGGCCCGGCCCGCCCCGGCGGCGCCCGCAGCCAGCAGCTCATGTGTTGCCACTTGTCGTCCCAACACCCCGCTGGGGTGCTGCTCTGCTGGTCTGCGGCGTGGCGTGGCGTGGCACCGCGTCGCGCCGGCGCGAGAGGCAATTGGAACGAGAGCGTGTGCGGCAGCCCCTCGGGCGGCCCGGACCCTCCGCGGAGTGGAGTGGGTAGGGGACACCCAACTCTTCCATCGCTATGCATTTCCTTATTGTGTGAAGCATAATAAAGAAGCATGAACGAATATTCGCACACTTTGGTTTTACACGAATAAAAATCGATTCACACTTGCAGTGAGCACACATACACGGTATGATTGGAAGACGGGTGTTCTGGCGAGGTGGCAAAGAGTGGGCCGGCATGAAAAGTCTATCCGCAAGGGACAAAGAAAAATAACTCTCTTGGCTTTCGAGAACAAAGGGGGTTGGGTCGGACTTCAGATTTATCGCTCTCGACTTTTCTCGTCATGGGCGAGTCCACTTGCGGTTCGTCCTTCAGGTTCGTCGCCAAGTGCGTCCTCATCACTATTCTTTACAGCCTATTTATGCCGCACACAGGACACCTTTGCACGCGGCGCATCGGGGCAGCGGGGCGCGGCAAGAGCCCCCCGGGCGGCAGCGAGCCGAGGCGTTGGCGCAGTGAGGCGAGCCAAGCGAGGCGGACCACATGTGAAAGTGGTCACGTTTTTCAGATAAAAATGAAAATACATGTCCTGGACTGAGGGGAGGGGCGGGATAATTTGAATTTTACGAGCAAATGGAGTACAGCAGGGTGGCCCGCACACGGGACCCGAAACAGCCTTCAGTTGCACTGAATACTGAATGCCTATATCTGAAGGCGCCATGGTCCGAGACGGTAGGCAACCGACTCGCACGACTGCATGTGGTATACAGTAGGCAATATAGCCGCACAAAACGTTTCCAGTCCGTGGGGCAGCCTGTAGTATGTTGTAGGTTTTAACATTAATTGGCAAAATTATATTGGTTTCGAAATTTGGATTGTTGGCTTTGAGGTGGTGTACAATGCGAGCCGAAAGCTGAGAGTTGTGTGCAGTTTATCGGTCGAGACAGAGGCTGATTTAGCGAAATTTGTGATAACTATGTTTTACGATTTCCACTCCCATGCAAAAGGGTATGATTACTTTTTACCGCAAATTGAATTCCAATAAAAGTATAGGAAGAAAAATATGAGATAACTTTTCATTAGAAATTTTTATATGAAACTTTTTTTTACAATTTTTGCCATAAAAAGATATACTGCATTATTTTGCATGGAATTTCTTCCTATTGTTGAAATTCAGTAGGCGATAAATGTTACCATGACCTTCAGCATGAGAATAGCAAAACACCAGTTATCGCAAAAAAATCAGTAAAAGTGTCGCAAAACGGATTTCAGTGACGCCATTACTGCGAGAGTACCCTCTTCTCAGCCTCCATCCGGCGACGGTACCGACTCGCTGGACTACACCAGCGGCAGTCACCAGGCGAGGAAGGC